TCCTAGTACCACCATCCACCGTCTCCTCTCTATATTGTAATTGTGTTTTATCTTGTGCATTTTGTTTTATTTATTGTTGTTCTCATTCTATAAAGTGCTTTGAGAAGCCACCTTTAAAGGCGCTATATAAAATAAAGTTTATTATTATTATTATTATTATTATTATTATTATTATTATTATTATTATATATGTAACTCAAAGCATTAAATAACAAGCCAGTTATTAATGAATGAAACCAAGCAACGCTATGCTGTTTCATGTAAATTGCATTTATTTTTTCTGGGCATGACAGCAGGTTCCAAAGTGTGTTAATCCCCTTCATAACTGATTAGGATTGCAGCACAGTGCCAAAGCACTCCCATTAACTTCCCATCCCTGCTATCCACGGCATGCCCCACGATATGGGATTTGTTCCGTCTTGTCTGGATTAAATTATGGATCAGGTACATAAAAGGCTGTCAGTTATCTGAATAAATAGATAGTGCCAAAATGCCAGAGGCATCCTCGTACAACCCCAGCCATCAAAGCACAAAGACACTCTGTTTCTAAACTGTTCATTTATTTATGCCATTATTTATTTACTTATCAGAAGATATGTACATATGGTGCCCAGCCTTCCTCCAGTGGCCTGGATCCATTCCAAACAACCTCTGTCTCCACACTGGGCTCAGCACATAGCAATGGGATTCTCTGGACCCTCCTGCAGTCCTTTCCAAACACCCGCACACACAGACAGGCCCTGCTTTATGTCTTTTCTCAAGGATGGGATAACTTAACTGTGCCTCCTGCTGGGATCTGTGCATATTTCCTATCTTGCAACAGTTCAATGTTCTCACTGCCTGTGCAGGGGTAGACGAAACTAAAGCTGACCCCTGTAACTTTTTTTTTTATGAGATGACAACAGGTAGAGCCGAAGGTCTTCCACTCACAGAGGAGCCCCTACTAGCAGAAAAATACATTAATATTGAAATTCAGCTGCATTTGGGAAAAAAAGCAGGCAAAATCAATGGCGGAACACAGCACTGCAAGACACAGTGATAATATATAGAGATAAAAAATAGCCCAGTTGTCCAAAACTCTTAAACTGCTCAACTGTGCAATTCTGTCCCAGTATTTTTCCCCTTTGACACACATAAGCCTTCTCCATGACTGAATATCTGTATCAGGCCCTGATGGTTGCTCAAGGACAAGATATCAGATGTGCATGTCCTTGGATCTACTCTTCTATTAAATGCTCGGTTTTGTATTGCAGGTGCTTTTTCTATGTCATTCTCTGGTGATTTTAATTTGGCAGGGCACTGTAGAACTGCATCTGGAGATCCCTTCGTGCTGTTTCTATAGAGCTAGAGCAGGGCAACAGTATCTCAATATTAGAAGCTGCCCGTAGAGAGCTGAAGGTGAGAGTGACACCCCTTCCCTACACTGTAGCTACTGAGCGATCCCCATTGTAAACACTCAAAGCTTCGTCAGGCTCATTCTGGCGTTAAGTCGCTACCCAGTGAATGGAGGGCTAAATAAATTTGAGCTTCTGCAGTGCTACAGAAATGTTAAGTTGTTTGTTCTCAGTCCCAAAGCACCAGAGTCCTCCAGAGGGAATCTGCACTCTGGATCATCTCATTTATACTCTGTGCAAATTAAATTCCTTTTTATCTTTTTTTTTACAGTGAGTGCTTTGGCTAGTTATAAATAGATGGAAGCAAAGATAAGATTAAAAAATGTTTTCTTTAAGGTCAGTAATTAGTGCTGGCTGCAGTGGGGGAAAGCAGGAATCTGCAGTGATATGTCTTAGAGCGAAAAGAGAAAAAAGACTGACTTTTGGGTATGTTTGCAGAACGGGGTTGTTCAGTAGAAGTCAGTGGTTTTTGAGGAGACAGTGGCAGCAGAGAACACGAAGAAGAGAAGACAGTGTGAAATGAATTGCAGAAGCCACAAAATGCAGCACCAGAAGGAATTAAGTTGCTTAGGATGCCAAGCACCATATCTAAAAATTAAGTAAGCACATCAACTTAGCAGACCTGTACAAAACATTTGACTCACAGATGGCTTTTGCTTCAAAGGTGGACAGCAGGTTAATAGTTAAAAGATGAGTGGGAGTTGTGATTTTTGCACATGATGGCCTGAGCTCACAGTTATTACAAAATCTATCTGAGCAGCAGAAAGGTCAGGTTTGATCGAAAGGGTTTTTGACAAGTGCAAATGGGATTCTGCTGTCTCTCCTTTCCCATTTACAATTCTTGTCAGCAAGGATAAGACTACCCAGGAGTCCAGAGAGGAGCAAAGCTACTCTTAAAATGAGCTCAACACAACCTGTCTGGAACAAGCCTCCCTGTCTGCAGCCTGCAATGTCTGTGCTGGTTAGTACAAAAGCAAAAGAATACACATTTCACCATACAGTTTCACAACACCTTACTTCACATCGCTGAGTTGAGTTAAAAGCGATCGATTGGGAAAAGCTTAAGCATTGATTTTCCTGGCTATTAGTTGTTATGTTTCTCCACTTACGCAACCAAGAGAATAAAGAGACATTTCCCACTTTAACTTAGATTAGGGTCAACAAAATTAGTTTTTTAAAGTACTTTCATCAAAGAGCTGAATAATCAATATTTTTTAGCTATTCTATATTTTATGGCCTCAGTCACCTCCCTCAGTGTCATTACTAAGTCCATTCTACAAATCAAAGCCAATGACAGTCAACAGAGTTGACGTACTGTATAGACTTACTAAACACATAAGGTACTTCCTTACGCAAAGGGTTGTGGGAGTCTGGAACAAGTTACACAGTCAAGTTGTTGAAACTGATATCTTGGTTTTCCTTCAAGAACTGGCTTGATGAAATGCTTGGGTCGATTAGCTATTAACATCCAAACAGGCAATAGGCTTAATGACCTCCTCTCGTTTGTAACGATTCGTATGTCAAAGGCAGAACTGAATAATGATCTTGTGCAGCTCCAGTCTAGTGCTCGGGGCAGAGGGAGCCGGAGCACCAAATGTCACGATCATAACCGTGGGACCAAGTACTGAAGACCGTTGGCAGATTGAATTTTTACAATTTATGTGGCTTCTTTCCACTACTAATAATAATGCAATATGGCACATTATTTAGGCAGGCCACGGAGGTCAAATTTTAAACATTCTTTAATCAAGACAAGAGAGGAAAAAACAACAGGTTTTTGATTCTATATAACATACAAGTATCACGTGCGTATTATATATTTCTGTATTTCTACAAGATTGCTCTTCTACAAGTGAAACAATAATATAATCTGCACCCTAGATTATACAAAGAGCATTTTATTTTGGTATGGCTACAATAAGGACAAGACTTAAAATAAATCTCCCATTTGTCTAAACTGATTGTTGCTTTACAATGTAGGATATGTTTGTGAGATTACCTACATAAAACACTTTCAGATTCTTAAGGGTTTTTTAATAATGTAAATTGCATGTAATTTACTGTAATTTATACATAAGTAGATGGTTTTATTGCAGAGAATTTCGGTGCTGTAATGTAATATTACTTTAATTTTACATCCTAGTTATTGAGTGTGACAACCGTAATGTAGTCTATTTTTCCTGTGTAGTATTAACTTTTTAAAATTACCCTCTCAAAATGTTCATTATGTCGAGAATACCTGCCACATGAACACATCTATGGAGCTAGTACACAAATGCATTTGACACAGTCATATGAAAATCACCCACAATATCTCTGTTTCTAGCAATTGAAAAGGCAAGTGATTGTTTTTACAAAGATGATCATCTTGCAGGAGCCTCTAACAGAATAGTCTGGTTTAAGCAGAGTGTTTCTATTAAACTGCACTGGATCTTCTGGAACCTCAATGAAGCACAAATAATATACAGCATATACCTCTTGCTATACCAAAGACCAGACAGAACTTCATAATTCATCATTCTATCTATGTATTCTATTCCAACGATTCTATGTGTTCTATTCCTGTAACATCACACTTTTTTCTTCATACAGGATTGCTTTCAGTGATTGCAAAATGAATATTTTAAGCTCTAGACCTGTAACATGAAAAAAAAGCCCCTGAGGTTCATTCATCCTGAAGTGTGTTCATGTCAGTGATTCAAATCTTTCTCTTAAGAGCGGAGTCTGGGCTCCCGTCTCGCAAGCCAGACCTAGAACACAGATTTGCGTAATTTTCTACATGATTTAACAATTTAATGTGGAGAAAATGTTTCGTGTCAGGAAGAGGGATAAATGCTGTGGAGCTGTGTAAGGCAGAACTGCATATTTCAAGAAATCTGCTTCAAAAGAGTCTAAACAGCCCTGCATTATTGTAATTTACAATCAATTTACATCATTTGCCAGACTAAGTGCTATTAATGCAGTTGCACTGTTTTGTAGCATAACTCCAGAAGACATGACCTACAATTTGTCTAAGAAAAGGATATGCATAAAGAACCTCATAGAAATTCAAAGAAAATTTGAAAATATTTTTTTTCTAAATATACAATCGGAGTGTAAAATGTACTCAAGAGATGTTTTACAATATTGACAAAAGCCGAAGTGAACCTTACTCTACATGCATTTGTCAGCGAAATGGAGACAGTGTGGAAATCAATCAGATGTGATGACAATCGAATCGACTGTATGATGCTCTAGGAGCGAAGTATACTTGACATAAGCTGTGAAAAATTACTCCCAGAGATGAACAGAGTTGCTTTTTGATGTGCGTGGTACAGGCATTGTTCACAAAGTGTGATATGAGGTGGGTTGCCCCAGTGCATTTCCATATTTTTAGCACATATGCAAATCGCACGCACATGTGTAGATGCGGGACATCTGCTTCTGTTTTTTTTTTCCAGAGCTGGGCTCTTACTACCTGGCCCTAACAGCTGGAGCATTTTGCATGACAGATAATGAAGCAGCAGCTTTCTTATGACCGGATAGCCGGATCTATTGTTCTCCTCATTTCTCCACTGAAGTCATGTACACTAGACAGACAGACAGACAATACAGTCAAGTACTCACAGCCTCTCAGTGTTCCGGGGAATATTCCTGGGCACGGCTTTGAGTCCCAGACCATGGCAATCCACAGTGGTGCCACTGCAAGTGCAGAGTGCCGGGCAAGCACTGGCACAGCCCCCCAGCAGGGCGCCCCACAGGACGACCCAAAACCCAGCTTTGGTCAGTCCTGTACCAGCCCCGCTGCAGCGTCTTCTGAAAGGCATCCCGGAGCACCAGTTCCTCTCCGCACTGCTCCAAGCCGCTATTCTAGACAAGTCTACTCCCGCCAATGTGCAGAAAAATAAACAAAACAGCAGTATAAGGTTGAGACCTTCAGGGAAACAAGTTCATTAAATGGCGTAAATATTTGCAGCGGCTCCTCCGTCTTATTCCTTTCCTTTCTTTTCTTGCTTTCCTTTCCCAACCAAGCTCTTTTCTTCTTTCTTTATGGAGATGTGTGCCCCTCTGTAGCTCTGTTGCGTGCCTACGTCCTACTCCCTTTCTCCCCAGCCTTCATCTGCTTGCCTGTAGAAATGGGAATAGGGGCAGAGCAGAGCAAATAAAAAAAGGAAAAAAGCAGTCCCTCTCTCTCTTACACACACAGCAGTCTTCCATCACAAGGAGCTACAAATAGCAGCTCCTCGACTCCTCCTACCTAACCCCCCCCCCACCACACCACCCTCCCCAGAACCCTGCCTGAACTCAACACTTATTCTCACAGGCTCTCATCCAGTCTCACAGCAGCCCCCACAGACAGGGAGCAGCAACCTGCACAGCACCGGCCCCGGATCTGCCTCTGGGATCCCCAGCATCACCAGGGGCAGCAGCCCTGGGATAAGCTCAGCAGAGTAGCAGGAGGCAGAGGAGCAGAAGAAAACAAAAAAAAAAATCAGTTTTCCAGAGGTGACGACTTTTCACGAGAGTCTGGGCAGACCGAAGACAAAAGTGTGAGAGAAATGGAAAGGGTTCCACAGCCAGGGGGGCTGGAGTTGCAGGAGCAACGCAGACGGCAGAGTCAGGCAGTTCAATCGCGATCTGCCAGTGTAAAAACTGACCAGGGCTGCAAAAGCCAAGGCATGGGTTGAGGTCATGAACTGATGCGCAAAATAGAGGAGCGAACAGCCTTTTAGTGAGAATTAAACGAACGGCTGCAAGCTGAGGAGACAGAACTGCAGTTAGATATCGGTTTTGACAGATTGCTCATTCTGGCTCATGTCTTCAGAACACTCATTTTCATTTTGTTCTGCTTCTGCTGGTCTTGAGGGCGCCACCCTACTGAAAGACGGTAGCAGTGCCCTGCACATAGCCCGGATGAGCTTATAAAGAAATGGACTATGAAAACATCTGTTGGTACCCACTGTGTAAACCACGGCTTCAGTGTTAGGAGTCCAGATTCACAATTCCAGGCATTTCTGGAATACACATGAACAGTATTGATGAAAATGGCATAAATGCGTTTCTACAAAATCCCTGCTGATCTTGGGTACTGTAGCAGAAATAGTGACTGTCACTTATAAGTTTAGAATGAAATGATTTTGGAAATGAAATATAGTTGAGAGAAATGCTGATAGGACCAGATCCCCGAAAAGTGAGTTAAAATACTCTGATGAAGAGTGAAAGCAATGAGCTAAACCAACACCTGTAAAGTTGCGAATACTGTTGGCGTGCAATTGAAGCAGAAAATAAGACTACATCATGACCGATTCCAGCCAACCAACCATCTGCGAGTGTAGGGTTTGTGCAAGCTCGCGACTAGCTTTAACACTGATTTAAGTGACTCGAAGTCAATCGTTGTCATAGAAAATCAGAAGCATTAATCAAACATATTGGCTCCACATGTCTTTTCTTGCCTGATCCATCAATCACCCTAAAATAAACTGCATTCCTATTTTAGACTGTCAAAAACTGTGACAGGGGGCCACGGTCATTATGTCTCCCCACACAGGAGACAGAATTCTTAAATTAGAATGCTCAATTTTTTGTGAATTCTCAAATGTTATACTATAGGTATTGTGATTTCTAAAAAAACGTTGAAACATAATGCAGGTATGCTCACTTATAACAATGACTCAGAATGAGGATCCGATAGCTGCTGGCAACACGTTTGCCGTATTTCTTTGCTATGTTCAGAAAGGGTTGCATAGTGTTTTATCTTGCGTCTGTGAACCTTGGTCCTTTACAATGCTTAGGTTGGTTCAGGTACTCTTAACTAGCCATTGTGTTTCAACAAAAACGACGCCTGTCCAGGAAAATGTCTCAAAGAACTACAGCTAGAAGCCGACTTATACGAAATGTTTAACGCATGTGCTCCCGCCCAAAGCTATCCCGCTGTATCTTTCTACAAATGGAAATCACATAATTTAATGAAAGGAGCATCTAATAATTGTAATAATTAATGCTCCAGAGATACGAGGAAAGGAAAAATGCATACAACTGCTCGAGATAACAACAAGCTCCCATAAGGAGTTAGTTTCCTAAAACAGCTTTTACGGTGTTTTTTTTTTACGGAGAAAAGAATTCCCGACCATGAGCAAAATCCGAGTGCGTTTCTAAGTAAAAAAAAATGCAAAGGCACTGAAGACGTTGAAACGCACTAATAACACTACAAACATGTTTCAAGTTTTTTTTTTAGACAAGGCTTTGCAGAACCTGGGAATGACAAAATTATGGTCGCTCATACAAAGGTTCTGTTAATGCCTGAAAACTCATTTGCAAGAGCAAATTTAAAACATGTTCCACATGTAAAATATGTGATATATGGCATATTGTTTAAAATGGTTGAATAATAAAAACCTTAAGCACATATCACATTGATATTGAAAATGTTCTATGTGTGCGTAAAACAAATTACATAATTATTCCAGTTTCTTAATCGAATCAGAACATGCCACTTTAATGGAAATTAAGCATTGAAAGCAATAGTGAGAAGAATAAACGACTCGAAAAACAACTTGAAACAAAGGGCAAACTAAACAAAACATTGACAACTGCATACTTTTAAGCGAACATTTGTTTGAAACTTATAATGTAAAATAAGTATTTGGGGGTTCATCAACACATTCTGGGATGGTTAAAAAGATGTAATGTGCAAAAATGGCATGCAATGGGCTATTTTCAGATCTTTAATATGAAATATGTAGTTATTACGTATAAGTAAAGAGAGCATATGACCTCTAATGGGCAATTAAAGTATTACGAACATGTTATTCGTGATTGTGTTTACTTTTTAAACACCGCCACCTTGTGGATGAAATTGACAATGCTTTTACTCGGCTATGATCATGATTGAAGTTCATAAGAGCATACAACCAACAAAGCAAATTGTATTGAAATACTTTCCTTCTGACAGATGTCACATACTGATGTTCCAGAGAACAGAAAGGTGCATCCAAGACGTCTCCTATGCTCATTATAAAAACAATTGTGGCACAATTGGCACAATATGATTCAAATTACACAGAACAGCATTATAATTTTAATAATTAATTGCTTACACTTAGTGCTTTTCTGGACACTCCACTCAAAGGGCTTTACAGGTAATGGGGACTCCCCTCCACCACCACCAATGTGCAGCATCCAGCATTCTGAGAATTGAATATTGGTTGATAACCTTATAACCTCATTCTTATTTGTTTTTTTTAACATAAAAAGGTAACCAGAAAAAAAAGTTGCCTGTCATCTCAAAACCTGAAGTATTACAAATATGAATGAGTATAAAGTTACGCATCATTCTTTTGCATTTAGACAGAGGGTATAATGCTCTGGATAAAGGTGGGTGAAGGAAAAAAAAACTTCTAAAAACATTAAATCATTATCATTAGGTAATAAATAATAAATAATCCACCTCTCCCAATATCTCTCAAAAAAATGTCCTTCTGGAGTCTTAACTGAAAGGTTAACTTTTTCAGTTCATAAATCTCTGAAACAATCATTTTCTTGGTTTGGGGGCTCTTTGATGTGTAATAGCTTTCTTACTTGCTGCCAAGAATACTTTTAGCAAGTATTTACCTCTGCCCACATCCTCATCAGGCAGATTACCCAGACACAGAACTGAACACGACTTTGGAATTTCTAAACATGTCTTGCTAATCAGAGACAACACTTCTTGTCTTGGACATTACCAATATATGCGTTGAATGCCCTGCGTCTACTACGACTCTGTCTCCAACATGGTTGTGGCAAACCAAGCCGAGACAATTTTATTTTGGAGTTATGAAGAATCGAGTTAAATTCTTCCAGCAGAATTCCCTCCATCTTTTTGAGTTTGTGGAAGTCATAACTTCATTCTTATATCAAGATAAAGAAAACACCCCCATAATTTAAGTCTTACAATTTTAAAATTTGATATCTGAAATTCACTTCTTACCTATATATCAGTACAATTTGAAAACGTGAAAACGCTTAATTTAGCCAATTGCAGCAATTATTTAGTTTTGCTTAACTTCTTATACACTGTAAACATGCACCAGCCCTTTGCAAAAGTATGCAGATACTTTTCCAGGGTTTAAATAATGTGGGACTGATAATGAGAAAAAATGTTCAAGAGACGGGGTAAAAAGGTGTTTATTTTAAAATGATTACTAAAGCCATGTATTTTACAATGTTACAACTTATTTTACATACATTATGAACAAAAATAACTATTAGGATGACAAAATTGCTCAAGTAAAAAATAGCTTAGATAATGCATTGCTGACAACAGCTTTCAGAAACTTGACCCAAACGTTGAAACCTAATTATTAAGGTCCTGATAACAGAGAAAAAATAAAGCATATTCTGCTGTAATAGCCCCCATCAGCAAAAACAGACTAATACATATGGATGGTACACTCACTACAATCACTCATACAGCTGTTTAATACCTTGAATGACTAACGTAATATTGCTTGGTGTTCTTAAAACAGAATTTTATGCGACCTGTGCTGTGCTCTATTGCACAGTTTAAGACTATAATGGCCAGGAAATATTTTGGTTGGTTAGTAAAGCATATACTACAAGATTACCTACTTATTCACGAGAAAGCAGGTTGATAGCAATCATACATTTCTGATTTTGACAAGGCTCTCCAGCTTCTATATGCCAAAGATGTGAAAAAAGCTATAAAGGTTATTATGAAATGTAAGGGGTTAATTGTTCAAGTTTTGTTTCTCATACAAAACTGATCCCACTATTTCAAACTTCACTTTAAAGTTCACCTATAGGCTCTTACAAGTTGGGCATGGCTTCAAATTAGGTTTCTATTTGTTTATTGCCTGCTTCAGAGTAGAAACAGAAAAGTGTTATCTGAACTAAGCAATGAGAATTCAGATATTTCTGACTTTGAGTTATTAAAACATGCTCAGAACATTTTGTTACTTTAGTAAGGTGTTGCCTGCCTGCTGTCTGGCACAAACCCAGTCTGCTATGTCAGAAAGCTATTACTCCAGTGAAGTGTATTCAAACACCTGCTATTTTAGTTTGAAGATGTATAGTAGCTGCACTGCTATTACATTACAGCACGATTTGATTTTCCCAAGACTGTCAATATAATATGTGAAGAAATACAAAACAGTCTCGGTTTATTTTTTTAAAATGTCACACTATTGCAAAAAGTTTTTCAATATAAACAAACGCGACTTCAAATCAGTATAGTGTAGTATATAGAGTGCAAAATTATTTGCACCACAATTCATGCAAAATGCATACTTCTGACTAACAAATAAAGACAGTAAGGATGTATCTGAACTAATGAAGCAATCTTTATTTCCTTGGATGGTCACAATGTTGTATTAAAAAACCTTTCCTTGCAGGCTTCTATAGTGATTTTATAGATAAAATTTGAAAAAAGCAGCGTGAGGTTTGAAATATTTTAAATGTTAAGTTAATCATTCAAGATAAGATGCATCTGTCTACTTGCTTTTCTAAGAAACTAACCAAAAAAAAGACTAATAAAGCAGCAAAAAAACAAATTTTGCTTACAAAGGTGAACTGAAACCAAGACACAGCACAGATGCTAAAATCAGAGATTAGATTTTAGCAGCATTCATTCATCACTAAGAGGGGAAAAAACTGTAAATGCCCTTAAAAAAACAGGATATAGAAATAGTGAGGTCTGTGTGCAAATATTAAAATAAGATATGGCTCAACTGGCCACACAGTGGTTATAATGTAACAGACATTAGAGATCAGACTCACTACTTTTATCACATCAATATCAGAATTGAAGTGGTCATGTAGGAAAAGGGTTTTCATTGTGCTAACATTACTCTGGGGAAATGTGGGCACAATTCAGACTGGAAAGGAGGTTCTGGAAAGGCATGTTTTTTTTACTCGTCTTGAATTTTCCATTTTGAAGCTACATTCTGATGGAGACTATTTTTAACATTTCAGAAGCATCAGAACCATATTAATGAACAAAACGTCAGGACCTCTTACCAATACTCCCATTATTATCCCTAAATTAATAATTTATGATAGTAAACAAAATTCTAAAAGCATAGTAGTATATTAAAACACTGTCAGACAAGACAACATTTATCATACCAATAAAGATAGTTAACCAAATGTTAAAAAAACAGTTATTGAGCCTGTGATGTAAATAAAAAAATCTCACAAAGGCACTTAGTTAAATAACTTCTAAAACTAACCATAAAATTGCTACGTTCACATTTCATATGAGCATCTCACAGACTTAAATTCAATCAACAGAATATCCTCTCTTCCACATTCTTTCTCAATCATTACTTATCGCGAACCCTCCTTACTTTTGAATTCATTCATGGCATTTCACAAATGACCCTTTACTCATAGCATTTTCCATATCCCACCATTTAAATTAATATGACACTTTCTGGACCTGTAACCAGAATGGTCTGGCATTTCCAAAACTTTTTAAACGTTAAAACTAAACACAAGGTCCATCTTCTTGTGCACTTCCCAAGACCAACAACATTCAACCCATTCCTGCATTCAAAATAGTAATAATGTTACTTGCATTTAAAAAGCCTTCCAAATGTGTTAAAATATCTATTGGGATTTCACTACAACTATCCAAACATAAAAGGCAGTATTGGAACAGAACTAGAAGCAGTTGAATATCCATTAACAGTCCAACCGAAGTTTCATAAATTACACATTCAATTCACAAATTTCACTTTATCACCACCAAGTTAGACCTGACATCTTACTGCAAAGACTCCATCAAGATTCTGAATGCAGACGCATTTATTTCTATAAAAAGGAATAGAATTAAGATGAGCCATTTTATGCATAGATGTACAGCATGGCCAACAGGCATCCAGATTCAGTGTGTATTTCAATATATCAGATCCACCAACCCATTACGTCAGAATAAGTTATATGGAAATGGATTGGAGTATCCCCAAATTAAATGTGTCCTATTCATGTGATAGGAGAGAAGGTAGTTATATATATAGTTAATTATACCCATCACTAGCTTTGTATAATGTCAATGAATCACCAAGATCCATGCTGACAGTCTGACTTCCAGAAATCCCAAAGAAGATTTAGTTTCACCGTTTGATCCAAAACAGACCATTTTTAAAAACAAAAACATATACATATATACATACAGAAAAATGGCTCAGTTGTGTTGAATATACCACAGTGAATGATAAACTTAATCACAGCTTTTGAAGGACCATTTCAAAAAATATTTTTTAAACAGAAGACTCCTGTGCTGGGGGAAAGCAGGCCTTGGTACAAGAGGAGCAATCCTGAAAAACAGAAATTAAAGTAAAGAAAGAAAGTCACATTTATGACAAACAAGCTGTAGAAAACTTAAAATCTGTAAAGTATAACTTGAAGACATGCCTAATGTTGACATTAGACAATGTAGTGCTTAAAAATGAAGAAGCTCAACAATGAAATTAAGTTAATATTGAGCTCTTTTAGTCTGAATTAATTTAACTTATTAAATGTACCTTTTTCCAGTTTTTTTAAATAACATGGTTGCATTTTTCATAATGCATCACTACTGCTTTTTGATGTTATTGTTGCTAATTAAATAAAACTGGCATCTAGTCAGTCTTAAAGTTTAACAGAAAAGATACAGTGCAAGTCGTAAAAGTTAAAAGCGAAAAATGCAATCCTATGCACCTGAAAAATGTCTAGAGAAATATACTGCATTGGTTTAAAAATGTCATTAAAAAGACTGGAGCAGGCAGACCTGCTTACCATAAATATGAGATGATTCTACTGAACAGAAAGTTTCATTACAAAAAAGTTTCATTTTGGTATAATGCTCACATTAATGTTCAATATTCAAAACTTTATTGCAAAACTTATCTAAAATTAGAATTACCTTGACCCTGGAGTTCTCATCAGCAGACTTTAAATTCACTGTTCTGTTTACCAGGGCTGGAGAATTTAGGGGCCTCTCAAACTTGAACAATATACAGATTCAAATATTAAAAACAAAGAAATAAACAATCCCATAACTCTTAACTAGTGGAAAATTGATTATTGCATTTACATTTATTATATTCAAAAGTTCAAGATGATTCTAAAATGCTAAAGCAGAACTGGACAACAGTTTTTGCAATAATTTTAAAAAACAGGTGAAGTTCTGCAATGTCTCAGTACCGTACATTTTCTTAAAAAAACACTCACTCTAAATATTATAAACCTAACAAGACAGATATTACTAGACACATTAAATAGTAGCATGTGAAAGCTACTAAATTCACAGAAGAAAGCTATTTAAATTCATAGAAAAACATATCTAAGTCACATTTAATTACAAGCTTTTATTCACACAAATATACATTTTTTCTCATTTGAAAATAAAACTAATAAAAATGTAAATCACTAAATCAAACAACAAAAACTCTGGCATCAAGTTTAATAATTTTGCACCCATCATGTAGTTATTTCTTTTACCACAACATCTAAAAGATTGTCTAATGTATTCATAATCAGTGCAGCAAAGTACTGATGCTGATGTTGCAACACAGTCATTTGTAACTTTCCTGAATTATAGGATATATAAGTGATATAGTACTGTGTGTTCTTAAGAGGTTTATGTCTATGGTTGGCACGTTTTCATTTACAATGATGACTTAGAGAATACTTTGACCCAACTAAAGCCCTAGCCACTATGCCACCTTGCTGCTACATAAATGAAAGTGTATTAAACACTAACTGAATTTAGTTAAATTTGGCAAATGACTTGTATACTGGCAGAATCAAATTTAACAACTTCAAAATTCACAAACAACAGTTAGCAACATTTTGCTTTGGATGTCGGTGACTTTGTTTGATTAACATGTAACAAACACTGGTTTAGATATTGGATTGCATGTGCTAATATTTCATTCCACAACACTGGCCTGGAATACTGTATTTAAGCTAAAAGGGAAGGGAGACTTATTTTATGGTCAGCTTGTGCTTTTGCGTATCAGTGATAAGATTTTTTAATTTAAACAGGATCTACAACGCCATTTTTATATTTCTGGGTTAGAAAGAATCAGCACTGATAAATGCATTTCAAAACACAATAACAGTTAAATGTACCTTTTAAAACCTCTAGTTTACATTTTTGCATTGTAGTTTACATTGTAAAGAAAGAGGCTCTTGAATACATCTCTTGTAATCAAATACAAATATTTCTCTCAATTCCGAGATGGTTTTGCCGACAAATACTACTTGTTAACTCTGCATGCAGATCACCCTGGAACATTTCTGTGGCGAAATGTCCACCACGCAGCCTGTGCTTATTCACCCATACATCACATGTCATTAATCATTACGGTGACTAGCGAGCCGGAAGTGCCACATCACGTTTCAATTTGTGGGAATTCAAATGTGAGTTTGCGAATGCATGGCAACTTACAGCATTTTAGACAAAGTTTTCTATAAAATAAATGGATTTATTTTGTTACCGACATTTAATAACTGGTCTGAGAAATTGTGTCTTCAGTTCCCCTTTAAAAGTCTATATGTTCTGATGCTTGTTATATAATATCACTGCCTAAAACATTAGCAATAATAGTGAACTCATACATTGAGCCATATGACTTGTATAGAAATATTTTCATTATATAGAAAAGGCTGGTAAAGGTATAGACACAATATTAAAGATTAAGTACGGACCAAATAAGCCGTTTCAGATTTTTTTATCCATGCAGGACACTGTATATCACAGAATATTACCTTCAGTTTTATTTCTTATACAATACCTTAATACCTTGTGTGCTTTTTAGGCAACGATGATAGCTTTTCCCCCCCAGAATTTAGAAATTACAACAATTATTTAACATTGTTAAGCAGTTGCATTAGATGTTGCACAGGTGGCACTACCTGTACCTGTAAACCAGTCAATGTTTCAGCCTTAGATATGTTTTTGCTCATTTGTACTTTTTAAATCTTATTTGTTATGACTTTCAAAATGACTAAAAATTAATAGCACCCCACACAAAACTGAAATGGTTAGAAACTCAGGACAACTTTCAGACAATCTAAACTTCATATGTGTAAAACAATGCATTGTACTTCTGTCATCTTAATATATTTAAAGCATAGTGAATGCAATGCTGCTAGATGAGCAAAATGTGTACACATATTAGTTCCATGTAGTGTACATATTCAATTCAATTTATTTTTATATAGCACCTTTCACAACAAGGTTGTCCCAGGGCGCTTAACAAAGCAAGTGACCATACATGTTGTGAATACAGAAGAGAAAAGACCAGAAGACGACGGAGGAGAGGAACCAAAAACTCCTTAGTAAGGAGGAATAAAACCTCTAGGGGTCCAAGGTCAAGTGACTGCCCAACCCCTTTGGGCATGTTAACAATTAAAAAAAGGAACAAATGAATAAATATGTGATATTATCAAAGACTTACAGATTGCAAATCAATGTTTTCTTTCCCGTGTTTGTCCGTCAGTACCATGATGGGAGTAGAGGGCTCTGGAGACGTATTTTTGCTTTTCTTTTCCATTAAAGTCTGGTTCCCCAAAACCCTTTTCTGTTTTAAACATAAAAAACCTTTTTTTTTTGTATAGAAGAAGTAAAGGATGCATTCAACAACTCTGAAAGAAGCCTAACATCACTATTATTGTGGTATTTTACATGGCTAATGGTATAAAGAGAACTAGCTCAACAGTTTGGCCCCCTTAAATATATAATAGGGAATTTGTCTGTTTACTTACATATAGAATCTCTATACTTGCTTTACATATTATATAAAAATAAAACAACAATGAAGTAGCAAATTAATGTGCAATAACTTATTAAATTAATAACTTATTGTTAGTCTCTCCTCTGTTGGACTACATAAATATAATGTTTATTTCATTTTTTGAAGTGTCTGGGATATCTTTAACTTTTAATAAAAATATATAAAATGTTTATTGGAGAAGGAAAATGTTCAGTATGGAGAACTATACGGAAGGAATAAATTTCCTGATAAACAACTGTAACCACCAAATGTTTGATAAATCTTTGCTGAATATCCTCGCACCTTACATACATTTTAATATAAAATACAATTAGGAGACAAAAATGTCAACATCCTTTACAGCAATACCAGATTTAAACTATTAATCATCTAATAATATTAAGTATGATAACATTAATTATCATTCTTCTGATGCTGGATGACTTCCACTGTAGTCAGGGATTTGGGTGTGCTTCAGTATTCATTCTCTTGGTTTTCTGGGGCCATTTATGCTTAGTTTGTTTTAGAACAATAAACTGTCTATAAATACATTTTGGTACTGTTTTAATAATAAAATCCTTACACTTATATAGCTCTTTTCTGGATACTCCTCCCAAAGTGCTTTACAAGTAATGTGGACACACCACTACACTCACCACACACCAGCTATCAGCGGGGTGGAGAACAATGGTGAAGCCAATTCACAGATGTGGATTATTAGGCCATGATTGCTAAAGGCCAAGGGAGAAAATGT